TGTGATCTTTTAAATTATCACCATGTCTTCTAGCTCTCCTGCATAGGTCTGCACTCAGAGCAGTTTACGTGCCCGCTCTTCCTGTGTCTTCATGGCTTTCGACTGGATTTCATTTCAAGATTGGAAATACGTGGCTGAGACACCATGGCTGTGTACACAACTTACTAACCCAGAATGCCAGCTCCAGTGGGAAGATTTGTTTCTGTTGTCCAGATAGTTTGTTCTCCGTTTGGGTTTTACAAAACTTCAAGTTGTCAGACAGCGTGGTGGAGAAAAAGGGTAGGGTGGATCAAGTAGCAGCAGGAACTCTGTTGTAGGAGAGTCAGGTAGGCGCGAAGCTAACGTACCGTCTCATTTATTTACTCTGCATTTCTCTGCTCGGAAATATCCAGGGAAAGGCAGGTCATGGCCACATTTTTAGAAGACAACAGAAAGATCTTCTTTACACCTGGGAGACAGGTTAGAATGTTGACTCTAACTTGAGATGAGCGGGTACCAGTTAGGCAGGGATACATTTCTCCTGGGTCTTTGGCTGGCGAACATTTATCATTTGCTTCATGAAAAGCCAAGAAGCTTTCAGAGACAAGTACCTGGTTTACCTTCCCAACCAGGTAGAAAACAGACAGGTGCACAGAAGTTGGCACTTAAAGCCAGTGGTTCAATAAGTACTTACCCAAGATGTTCACTTCCTGGGGGCTCAGCAGGTTTACTATCACACTGTGTAAGTAATTCAGAGAACCAGGAGAAATAGAATGAATACCCCCAGGAAAGAGATTAATTCAAATCATTCTAATAAATGGCATGTAGGCCCGGGAATATTTCCCAAATAGTTCCAGCTTGGCTAAGTGGTTGCTTTCTAGAGTGTGAGATGTCCCTCAGAAGGATGAACATGAGGTTTCGATTAAACATAGTGAACATCTTAAATGGGAATTTGAAGATCATTTGCGAAGTGAAAAGTATTTTAATATCTTTAAATGGAATATACATAAGTAATGGAATTTAATATAAGTACTTTACATGCTGCTAGTCAGTAACTTTGATTGTTGCAATTTTATGGAACGTGGGTTAATGGGACTGCTTTTTTTCCTAAGTGGCTTTAAAAAAATCTTTAAATGCCAATCTTAGAATGTATAGTCCTTATGGGATTCTTAAATTTTGTCTTGTCTTTGTTCAAGAAAGCTTTTAATGAGAAGGTTGGTTTTGTTTTGTTTTTCATTGTTTTGGAGCTAGAAATAGGTTTCTCTAGTTAAATTTGTTCTCCCTTAGTTAACTTTGAGTTATCCAATTCATGGAATATCTGTGGTGAAATTTTAATCCTAAAATCTATTCACTGAGTGTTCATTTAAGTAAGGAATGTCTAAACATACTGATGACTGGGTAAAACAGGAAACATTGTGAGTTTATGGCCTAAACGCAGTCAGTTATGGGATTTTGGTCTCTCCGATTTTATGGGATGAGAATTCCTAGTGGCAGGATGCCATGCTGTGCTACTACACTGTGTCCTATGCAGTTGGCATTCCAAGCACTGACCTCTTAATTTGAGTGGCCAGTCCCACTACCACCATCCCTGGCCCGGTGTTGCACATCCGGATACTTTGGCTCACCTGGACGTAAGGAAAAGTCCTCACTTCTTCCCCAGCTTACCTCTCAATCTTGGTTCTTCCAGAACACACTTCTTTTTCTTAATGCAAGTCAACTGAAAAGCGAGATCTGGTACATGGAATCTTGTGACCAATTTACCTGACATACATAGAATTTAAAAGATTCCTGAATTCCACCAGTAATACTGAAAAGCACACCTAAGGCATAGCTTTTTTGTTGTAGAAATACAGTATATGTTCATTAAAAAAAAAAAAAAGGACGTGCAAATTGCATCTCCATAGGAGATACACTTCATACATTTTGCTGTTTTTTTCCACTATGGATTTCTCTTTGTTTCTCTCTTCCACTTGTTCTTTCTCTGTGTCACTGTTGTATGTCCTAGTATCTTTCATACCTCTTGTGTAGTCTCTAAGCAGAGAGCACCCAAGTCCTGGATTCTTGGTAATGAAACCCTCACTCTGTCTGTGGGGCCTATGAAATTAGGAAATATTGGCGCTATTGGCTTGTTGGGTAAAGGGCTTCCTAGGATTGTCATCTGTCCTTCATAGCCTGCATTTTATGTTGTGGCTGTGTTTTCCTTTGACAGGTAAGTGCCATCTGTGTTGCTAGTCATGATACTGCCGTTGTTTTCAGTGTTCTGTAGGCTGTCCCCTAAGCTACTTATATATTTTACAAGTTTGCATTAAATTTGTTGAACTTTGTATAATCAAGTCACTTCTCTGCTCAGAAATGCACAGTAACTTCTTAGTAAGCCCCCATATCAAATGCATACTTTGTCTTCCTCTGAACGTTACTTCCACTTCTACCTAACCAGGGACCTCAACTTCATTCTTTTCAGTTCTTCAAGGCCTTGCCCCATTCCTGGCTCCTCAAGATACCTTGACTCTAGGGCCTATTTCATTGCCTGTGTTCTTTGAATCCCTATGACACTTTGAGTCTGTACAACATACTCTTACACCAAATTATTGTATTGTTCTTAGCGGGTACATGTAAATTAGTCTCATCTCCTTCATGAGAATGTAAAAGCTCCTTAAGAGCAGGAACCATGTCTTAAATTTTTGTATCCACCACAGTGCCTAGCATAGTGCTTGGCACATGGGTGCTGAATAAATACTTTGTTTATTGATCAGCAAACTATTATCTGGTATTTTTAATTATAGAGGGATTAATGTATGTGCATGCAAGCTTGTACCTAGTTGCTGAAGCTTATGACTGTCTCAAAGTGGGATGGAGCAAAACAACATGATCAACGGCAGGGGTTTGGTGGTCCGACCAGCCAGCCAACAACAATGACCACCAGCTGGTATGGTCATGGTAAGAACAGAGAGTTAAATCCATGAACCATTGCAGAGCAGTTAAGAATGAGATGTGTCTGACAATTCACCTTTTAGAAGAAGAGCCCAGATATTTCTTGAATAGCTATTAGCTTATGACCATCTGCATATGAAAGCCACTTAACCACAAGAGACTCCTTTTGGAGGGACAGCAGATTTCAGACTAATATGAAGGATTGGGGGGAGGGGGCAATGTGTGTAACACTGCTTAATGCCAATACAGGATTTTATTTTTCAACTCTGTTCCACTTAGCTTTGAAGCTGCAGAATAGTTGGGTCATTAGGCCAGAGATTATGAATGAATTACCTATGCATGTGGTTACTTTTGCCTGCACCATGGTTTTTGTGGGGGTTTTTGTTTTTTGAGCCAGTGTTTTAAATTGACAGATTTCACATGAAAATCTTCATTTGGGGCTCTTCTTGAAAAAATAAAAAACTGGAAGATCTGGCAGTACCAGGCCTGCATGGCACCTGCTGCCGAGAGATAACTAGTGGCTGTTTCTAGAGACAGGGCACTTGCTCTATCAAGAAATTATTTCACTCATTTATATTACCTACCTGGTACTCTTGTAATCATTTGGAGCATATGTCCCCTCCAATAGGTTACTCTGGAAAGCACACTGGGAAGAAGGACTGAGGTCTGTCTTTTACATACTCAGAATCCGTAATTTGAGAGCTAACAGATACTGCTATGGTCTGAATGTCTGTGTCCCCCCAAAATTCATGCTGAAATCCCAATGCCTGATGTGATGGTATTTAGGAAGTGACGCCTTTGGGAGGTGCTTAAGTCATGAAGTGGAAGCCTCATGAATGTGACTAATGCCTTATAAAATAGCTCCAGAGAGATTCCTAGCCCCTTCCATCACGTGAGGACACAGCAAGAAGGCAGCAGCTATGAACCAGGAAGAGGGCCCTCACCAGAAAGTAACCATGCTGGCACCTCCAGAACTGCGAGCAATGACTTTCTGTTGTTGATAAACCACTCAGTCTGTGGTATCATAGCAGCCTGAAAAGACTAAGACAGTTGTTTCCATTTAATTTTGGGTTGACTTTCTAAATTAATACTTAGAAGGAAGTAGAATTTTGTCAGTTATTCTTAAATACGTATCTGCTATTAGTTCAATATGCACATTTTCAGGAAACCCTGGTCTCTATACTACCAGCAACTGGAGAAAAATTACCTCTGACCTGGAGGAAAGGGGAAGGAGGATTTTTAATAGGTTCATAAATAGGGCAAGTCTCATGGAAATGAACTTCAGAAGATGCCTGATGTCCTTCACATGGGTTGAAGCTTATGATGAATTCTCTGGAAATCACTTTTCCTGTATGCAGAGCAAACAGCTGCTTGCTGGTCTTTCTGTGGCGAATTAGCAAATTCTCTAAGAGCTTTGAATTTAGGAGGGGAAGGAGGAACTAATCATATCCTACTTTCCTGCTGGAGTTCTGAATCTTTTCATTGATTGGCATGTGTATGATGGGGCTGGGAGCCCCGTAAAGAACTTGAGAGTCTGGCACGAATATTTTGGGAAAGGAAGGATAAAAGACAATTTTAGTTCCATCAGACTCCCTCTTTCCCTGCTTGTATTACAGGAGCAGACCATGTCCTTTGGGATAGCAACTTTCTGAGGAGAATGTATGATTGTCATAGAATATATATCTTTCTTTTTCTGTGACACAAGATGATCACCAGTATCCTCAACATTCAGATTTTGTGACATCTGAATGACTCATCTCAGAGGCTCAGTTTCTTCATCTGTAAATTGGGGATGATATCAGTATCTACTATATAACATCAGTTATTTGGAGGATTAAATAACCAATATTTGTGTGCACCTCATTAATTTTACAAAATTAAATACTTTCCTTGAAGAGCGACCATTATTGTGGCAGAGAAAGGGAAACGCGTGTTTACTGGAAGGAAATACTGTTAGCAGGACAAGAAAACCATGGTTGTTATCCAAAGTTAAGGACCCACGGAACCGTACACCCAGTCCTTCACTGTTGTCGCTCCGGACCTTTTTCCGGTTGTACCTCGGACCCTGCTCTCCCCGCCCTCGGGAAATGAAAGCCTGCTCACGCTGCCAGTGCATGCTGGGAGTTGGAGTCCCCTTTCTAAAGGCTGCGGGTGGCGGTGATATCAGCGGCGTCGCTGGGAGCCACCAGCACGTGGCGGGAAGGGGCGGCGCGCGCTAGCTGTCGGCTCCCGGGAGCGGCAGGAGCTGCCCGCTTTCGCGCCTCCAGTCGTGTTGCCCTCCCGACATGCCCGAGGAGGCGGGCTTCCCGCCGGGCAAGAGATTCCGGCCGGGCGCCGGGCCTTTGAGGCGCGCCGGGTCCTGCCCTCACAGGCGGCGAGTGGTGATGCTGCTGACCGGGGGCGGCGGCGGCGGCGGCGGAGGAGGAGGTGGCCGGAGGCAGCAGCCACCCCTGGCCCAGCCCTCGGTCAGCCCCTACCGTGAGGCCGTGGAGCTGCAGCGCCGGAGTCTGCCCATCTTCCAGGCGCGGGGGCAGCTGTTGGCCCAGCTCCGAAACCTGGACAGCGCCGTCCTCCTCGGTGGGTGGCCGCGCCGGCGCGTCCTTCCTCTCTCCCCGTTCGAGCTCCGCGAGAACAGCTTTTCTTAGGTGTTTCTCCCCGTCTTTCACTCGTTTCTACAACAAACCTGACTGCCTTTTCTGTTTGGGGCCAGGAGAGGGGCCTCGGAGAAGTCAGACAAGCCCGTTCTGGAGGTGCTCACAGCCGGTGCGAGTGACTCGCGCCTTCGGCAAAGACTCGCCTTCTGTGCGGAAGGGTAGAGGGACGCAGCGGGAACTTTGGGAGCTTAGAAGAGTGGATCTGAGCCAGTCGGGGAGGGAGGCATTGGACGCAGAGGAGAGAGCCTGCAGCATAAGAGACAAAGTGGAGGCGAGAGACGGTCCGGTCTGACGGAAGTAGCAGTTTCTGGTGCACGAATTAAGAGGCAGAGTTCAGGGCCGGGGACCAATTGCAAGGGGCTTTGATCCCCAACGTTTAAGTAAGAGGAGCTCCTGAAGGACCGAGAGGATGAGCCTCCAAAGAGGTGAAGGAGATCCAGGAGAGTTGATAACCTAAGGAACAGAGTTATAAGAGGAAGGGAGTGAACAGATGCAGCAATGAAAATAGGGACCAGAAAATAGGGACCCAAAAAGTGCCCACTGGATTGGATGCGAGGTATCAATTGGGGATCGAGTTGAGCGCTGTTTCGGCAGAGCTCTGGGAGCTGATTTGTCACTGGGCTGAGAAATAGGTAGGAGGTGAGGGCATGAAGGCAGTGGGAGCAGGCTTCTGTTTTGACAAAAAGGAGGGGGACCTAGAGGAACTTTCAGATATTCATAGGTTCAGGGGAAGAACTCAGTAGAGGAGGCTGAAGATGCAAAGCGGGCACTAATAGAGCAGAGACAGAGGGCGTGGGGAACGGGGGCCCTTGGCAACAAGGGCTAGATGCAGAGCGGGCCTGGATATCCAAGAGGAGGATGGATATCCAAGAGGCTGGGGGGCTGGAGAAGGGAGGTAAGAATGGGGGTGACTGCAGAAAAGCTTGCAGGGGGAAGTGGCGAGAGATCACCTCTGAGGACTTCACTTTCCTGTGAAGTAGGCACGGGAGCTCTGATGAGGATGGGAGTTACAGGGTCCTTGGGGAGGACGGGGACAAAAGAAGGGCTGCAGAACCAAGAACAAGGATCAGCAGTGGTGCTCGTGCCCAGGTGCATTTAGCCCCACGGCAAACTCAGGTCAGTGTCAGCACAGTTGGGTTATTTTACTATAGCAATGCTCAGTTTCTTGGTGTAGGAGCAAAAAAGATGGACAGGGAGACATTGATCCCGGTTTGGGTTTTGCCTGATGAACTCAGCAGGAGGAGTGTGGAATAATCAAATTCTTTGTCCATGATTCGTGTCCGGGTCAGGAAGGATGAGCAGTCAGAGGGGAGAAAATGGAAGAACCACAGGACTGTAGGACTCTGTGAGGTCAGGGCTGGGTACTGGTAGCCGTGAGGGGAGGGATGCACAGGTTTACAGTTCTTTGTTGTGATGGCACTAGGAAGGGAACACTGGGCACTGGGCACTGGGAAGGGAACACGGGAGGGTAGAAAATAAGGTTGGGTGCTTACTGTATGCAGGTGCTCAAGTACATGGAAGAGACGGACAGGCCATCTGTGCCCCCCAGGGGCCTCTGATATTGGAGGGGGACAGAAACGTTTAAATGCTTTCACACAGTGTAGGGTGATCAGTGATGGACGAGATGAACAAGGCTCTAAGGAACACAGAGGCGGCGGCGCAGCCCCTGGGGGGAGAGTTTGAGGTCTAACGCATCTTGTACAGTTTGTCACGCAGGCAGCGTGGGGGCAGATATTTCATAATAGTGTGGGCAAAGGCAGAGGGTTTGAAAGGAGGCGGCTGGCTGGGGAACGGTGAGGACTTAGCTGTGGCTGCAGTGTAGGAGCAGATGTCTCTCTTCATGGCAGTGCATTTACATCTCGTTTATCCCTTTGAAAAGTAGGACATTTTTATATAACGTTTGTATTCCATTCTATGTTGTTACTATACTGGTTACTGTTGCTGACCACTTACATTGTTTCTAATTTTTGGCTGTCATGAGCAAAGTTGACTAAAACTCTTTTGAAGCTGTATTTTTATACACATCTTTATTTCCTTAGAATCAGTTCCTGCAAGTGGAATTGTGGGTCAGAGGGTACAACATTTTAAAGATTTTCCTAGTATAATGTGGCCCTCCAAGAAACAATCCCAGTTAACACGCTGCTGGCAGTACATGTGGGTACACATTTTCCCGTGGCTTTATCAGCTTAGAGTATTTTCTTATCTTTTCCTTCTGACTTTGATCTGTTTTGTGAAGTATGTTTAAGTTTGCATTTTTTTAAAATTTTGATGTGGACCATTTTTTTTTTTAGGCTGCATTGGGTCTTCCTTGAGGCGCTCGGGCTTCTCATTGCGGTGGCTTCTCTTGTTGCGGAGCACAGGCTGTAGGCGCGGGGGTGTCAGTAGTTGTGGCGTGCAGGCTCAGTAGTTGTGGCCCGTGGGCTCTGGGGCACGTCAATTTGCATTTAAATGAGACTTTTTTGTTTCCTAGGGGAAACCGGCTCTGGGAAGACAACGCAGATCCCTCAGTACCTGTATGAAGGGGGGATTGGCCGCCAGGCCATCATTGCCGTGACCCAGCCTCGTCGAGTGGCTGCTATCTCTCTGGCTACCAGAGTCTCAGACGAGAAGAGAACTGAACTCGGGAAGCTGGTACCTAACTTCCTTCTTTACTGACAGTCCTTGGTCCCCTAACCCCCACTCCCGGCCCCCTGACTTATTTTTCTGAACAAGACTACTTATACATCTCAAGCTTCTTTCTTGCCACAATTGTTTCAGCCTCTCTCAGAGTTCTTTACCAGTTCCCAAGAGATCAGAGGGTCTGTCAGTCCCACTTGCTTTGCTTTCAAAATCTGTTGGCAACTTGGATAAATTAGCTGTTTTTTTCCTGAACACTTTTTTTTTTTTTTTTCGGTACGCGGGCCTCTCACTGTTGTGGCCTCTCCCGTTGTGGGGCACAGGCTCCAGACGCGCAGGCTCAGCGGCCATGGCTCACGGGCCCAGCCGCTCCATGGCATGTGGGATCTTCCCGGACCGGGGCACAAACCCGTGTCCCCTGCATCGGCAGGCGGACTCTCAACCACTGCGCCACCAGGGAAGCCCTTCCTGAGCACTTTCAAGGCTTCGGTAACATCTGCTAAGTCTTTTATCTACATATCTTTCTACAAACTTGTAAGCATTTTTCTAGTATATAGGTGGGTATTGAGAATGAGTCCCAGAACTGTATATAAGTCAGATTTATTCGTGTTTGTGTGGGTGTCTACCCATTTGACTTAAAAACGTCTTGGACATCTTTTCATATGTGTACATAGCTTCACTTGAAACTATGAAGGAGCTGGGAGGAGGAGGCTAGTTTTAAATTCTTTGTAGTGTTTATCATCATTGCAGTTGAAGGCGTGTGTCCATTGCCTTGGGAGCAGGGCAGGGTCGGAGTTGGTCCTGTTCGCTACGATAGCACCAGTGCCTGGCACCGTGCTGGATACACTGGGTGCTGAACACACGTTTGCTGAGTGAATGAGTGATCTCTCCACACAGGTTGGCTACACGGTGCGCTTCGACGATGTCACCTCGGAGGACACCAAGATCAAGTTCCTGACAGATGGCATGCTTCTGCGCGAGGCCATTTCAGACTCCCTGCTTCGGAAGTACAGCTGCGTCATTTTGGATGAAGCCCATGAACGGACTGTCCACACGGATGTGCTCTTTGGGGTGGTGAAAGCTGCCCAGAAGAGGCGAAAGGAGCTGGGGAAGCTGCCTCTCAAAGTAGGTGCAGCCTGTGCTACTGAGGGACCCAGGGCAGTGGGCATGGGGGGGCGCAGGCCTCCTCGGCGGCCTTCAGGGCTCAGCGGGGGCACAGAAAGGCTGCTCCAAGCTTGTCCCCATCCTCCGCCCCTGTCTCGCACACAGGTGATTGTGATGTCGGCCACGATGGACGTGGACCTGTTCTCCCAGTATTTCAGTGGAGCCCCCGTCCTCTACCTGGAGGGCCGGCAGCACCCGATCCAGATTTTCTACACCAAGCAGCCCCAGCACGATTACCTACACGCGGCCCTGGTCTCCGTCTTCCAGATCCACCAGGTAGGCACTGGGGTGCAGATTCCTGGGAAGGCCTGTTTGACCTCGAGCATTTAGCCTTGAAAAGAAAAGCTGCCGAACGAAACCATTTTGTGAGCTGTGTCCTGAAGTTGAATATGGAGTTCGTTTGCCATGTCCACATTTTTATCCTTTTTCTCAGTGTCTTTTTTTTTTTCTCTAAAAAAAATAATTCAACCCTGACCAGCATCTTTCCTCAGCTGAGCCAGAAAACGTCCATATGTTAAAGCAGTGGCTTGCAAGCATATTTTGATTGGAACCCCCAGTAAGACACACATTTTATATTGCAACCCAGGACACAATGTGTAGAACTGGAGTGAGTCTTAGGAAACACAGTCTCCTTTTACTACATGTGATGTCCTCTGGTATTTTCTGTCTCATTGAAAAAAAAAAAAAAGTTAGTGTATTAACCAATAATGGGTTGCAATTTAGAGTTTTCTTTTTAAAAGAACAAAAAACTGTACAGAGAAACATTTCGATTTTTTTTTCCATTTTATTAAACGTTTACTTAAAATTTCGAGTGATTAAATCTCATATTTTGGTTTAATTTGTATAAAATAGACTTTTTACCTTTCCATTAACTTTCTGAAAAAATCTAGAAGCCAACTTTTGAAAGCTAATTTTTATTTTAAGCTCAGTGATGTGTATAGTTTAAAGTTTAAAAAGTCAAGTACTTAGTTCTAAAAAGCTCATAGGGCTTCCCTGGTGGCGCAGTGGTTGAGAGTCCGCCTGCCGATGCAGGGGACGCGGGTTCGTGCCCCAGTCCGGGAAGATCCCACGTGCCGCAGAGTGGCTGGGCCCGTGAGCCATGGCCGCTGAGCGTGTGCGTCCAGAGCCTGTGCTCCGCAACGGGAGAGGCCACAACAGTGAGAGGCCCGCGTACCGCAAAAAAAAAAAAAAAAGCTACTATTAAAAAGCTCATAAAAGAACAGGAGCTGCTTTCACTTTCCCAGCCTAGATCCTGCTCTTGAAGGTACACCTTCAATTTCTTAACTGTTACCCTTGGATGTTACTTTCCTGTTTCTGAAACATCCTCTCATATAAAATGATTATATCAGGGTGTCTTTTTTTTTTTTTAATTATTTATTTTTGGCTGCGTTCGGTCTTTTTTGCCGCGTGCAGGCTTTCTCTAGTTGCGGCAAGCGGGGGCTACTCTTCATTGCAGTGTGCGGGCTTATTGAAGTGGCTTCTCTTGTTGCAGAGCGCGGGCACTAGGTGCATGGGCTTCAGTAGTTGTGTCTCGCAGGCTCTAGAGTGCAGGCTCAGTAGCTGTGGTGCACGGGCTTAGTTGCTCCGCAGCATGTGGGATCTTCCCGGACCAGGGCTTGAACCCGTGTTCCCTGCATTGGCAGGCGGATTCTTAACCACTGTGTCACCAGGGAAGCCCCAGGATGTCTTTTTAAATCAAGTATCAGTCTTTACAATATGACGACCCTACATTGTGCACCATCGCAGTGCCTTGTTCCTTGTTCCACACAGTCATACAACTTTTCTATGTACGTACGGCCAATTTTTCCCCAAGGGTTCTAACATCTATCACGTGCCAATCATGAATACTTTTTATGTGTTGAAACACAATCCACTTTTTCCCGGGTCCTTTGTTTATGCTGCTTTTCTGCTCCAAACAGGTTGCTCTCCTAGGCCTCCGCACAGCTGTCCTCTTGGCTCTTCCCTCTGCCACCCTCCTGTGTTGAATCCCACGACAGCACCCCGTGTCTGCCCAACCTCCTGGCCGCATCGGGTGGAGGAGGGGACTTGGGGGTTCAACCACACTGTACTCAGACTTCCAGCTGACACTTGGGTCCTCATGCCGGCACAAGCCCCCGAGGCTCGCTCTGAGCCCGAGCCTTTGTGGCTTCTCCAGGGAAGTGGGCTCACCGCTTTCCCACCACCCCGTCTGCACGCTCCCCCGTCGGGACTCCCTCTGCCCGGCCAAGTCACTCACTTCCCAAGTCACTCACTTCCTGCCCCATCTCTTTATCTTTCAAAAATGGGTTGAAACCCTGTCTTCCTGGGCTTATACCTTCACCGTCATTTTGATAGTATTTGGAGAAGGTCAGTCTGCCTTGTTTAGCTGCTAAAAGCAAACCTGAGATGAGGATTTTTCATGAATAGTGCCTGCAGTGCCCTCTGGTTACATGGTGGCTTTGATGATACCTCCCCTTGATGAAGCTTTGACTGTTGTAGATTTTAGCCTGGGAATTCCCTGGCAGTCCAGTGGTTAGGACTCGGTGCTTTTTACTACCAGGGCCCGGGTTCAATCCCTGGTCAGGGAACTAAGATCCTACAAGCCACGCCACCAAAAAAAATAATAATAAGATTTTATCCTTTCTGTGTGTGTGCACCTCTGAACGTTTGTCCTATTAATACCGGGCTAAAAAACTACATGCACACATATAAATACATAGATAATAAATATATGTATTCATACATAGACATATATATATAGACACATACACATGCACAGCATATAGATAATTGTTAAACATTTTTCAATTATTTTGCCAAACAAGTACTCTACAAATTAATGTATCTGAACAGACATCAAAGGAAGATTGGATCAGCGGGTGTGCAGTTAACACTTACATGTTCTTCCCTTTGCGAGGTGAAGGATCCAGTTAAGCCTGGGATCGCAATCCCTTGTCCACGTTCAGCGTGCTTTGGGGGTTTATGAAAGTACATTTGATGGCCTCATTCAATTAGGGCTCCTTTTCCAGCATGAGTGCTTCCGGCCATTTCCGTGGATCAGGATTTCCCCAAGTTGTCTCTTTTGTCAGCTCCATCTTTCAAGATGATTGTGAAAGGAAGGCAGCTTCATGCAGATTTTATTTGCTTGCCTGATTGTGCTTTTCGTGGCATTGTTCTCGCTGCAAAAGCAATCTGGCCATCTTTCTTCAAAATCTCCTTAATTCGTTTTTAAACCTAGCTGGCTAACTCGAGTAAGTTGCAGCCGTGCATTCTCAGTGTGGGTTTTCTCCCAGGGGAGACACCGATGTTTAGGCTCATTTATGTCTCCAGAGTTAAGAAAAATAACTGGGAAAGTTCATCAGTGACCATTGTTCTGTGCAACCTGTGCTCCTGTCAAGGCCTAGTAATCCCACTCTCCCTTTTCTGTAGGAAGCCCCCTCCTCTCAGGACATCCTGGTGTTCCTCACTGGGCAGGAGGAGATCGAAGCCATGAGCAAGACCTGCCGGGACATTGCCAAACACCTCCCCGACGGCTGCCCCTCCATGCTGGTCCTTCCGCTCTATGCCTCCCTGCCCTACGCCCAGCAGCTGCGTGTCTTCCAGGGGGCCCCGAAGGTGAGTGCACCCCTTCTCCTGCCCAGCCCCATCCCTGGGTACCCAGATGGATGCACCAGTGGGGCCTGTGCTCCTGTCAGCAGGCTCCAGATAAGGTGTGTGGGACGGGATGTGCAGGGACCACACACATGAACTGGAAAGATGCAGGAGGGTAATGTGGGGCTGCAGACACGGCTGTCCCATGGTCAGAACAGGGAGACAGCTGTCCGGGGGTGAGGGAGAGGCAAAGGCAGGAGCCAGGGACTCAGTGAGTGACTCTTCCACGGTCCACCGTTAACAGAGCCTGTGTCCACATTACGTTCCTTGGGTGCCCATGCTGTGCCAGGCACTGTGCCAGCACTTGACACATACTGTCTCTCATCCTCTCGAGAACCGCAAGGTGGGTCACCATCCCAGTTCCGAGGCCCCAAGGGGTGAAGTGACGGTTGCCCAAGGGGCACAGGAGGTAGCTGGCAGGGCCAGGACTCCAGCCCACATCTACCTGCTTCTGAATCTTGTGCCTCTCCCACCACATCTCATTGCCTCAAAATAAACTTTTAGGACTGAAACATTCCCCACACCCTACCCTGCCCCGCCCCGCCCAATTTAGTGATCAGCCATCAATATTAATGACTGTCATAATAAAAAAGTCATCTCTTCTTGATCATGAGTGAGTTGTGACAATTCACGGTGAGGAATGTGTTTTAAAACTTCTGAATCATATGTGTGTCATATGGCTCTTTGGTTTTCTTCCTCCTTTTAGGGCTGTCGCAAAGTGATCATTTCAACCAACATCGCTGAAACCTCCATAACCATTACAGGAATAAAATATGTAGTTGACACGGGCATGGTTAAAGCAAAGAAGTATAACCCCGGTGAGAATTTGTAGCTCCTGATGTCTCTTCTCTGTGTAGTGAGCAGCCTGTGTCCCAGTTTCCCCCAGATGATTGTCTCATGTCCGTAACTACCTGAGATTCGGGTGGCAGCACCACAGTCCAGCAGTCAGGGCCAGAAAGGCACGTGAGGCAGGAAAGAAGAGCCCAGAAGTGGCACACCTGGGGACAGATGGTCAGGGACCTGGGCAGAGGGCATGCAACCCCGTCAGAAGGTAGGCGAGGATGATGGCTCTCAGGCCAGGGACAGCCTGATGCCACATCAGAGGCTTCCTCGGAAATGACATCTGAGCTAGGCTGGTTTGACCTCCAGTCTCCCAGGAAGGAAGCAGACCCCCCCAGGCTGGGGCGAGGCACTAGCTATTTCCTGAGTGTGTGCGGTGGGCAGCTTGCTTGAAGTCATTTTTATTCAGGTCTGTTTTCTACCTTGCTTTACTCCACAGAGGATTTGAGGCAGCTGAAATTATGGCTCCCGAACGTTTAATTGAAATGCACTGCTAAGCCTTCAAGGGTGCTGTCATTCATGTGTGTCTCTGGGGACCACGTACGTGAAAGGGCTTGGTTCTCCAGTGCCTGGCACAAAATACACCTTTATAAGAAAATCTGTCTCATTCACTCCTAGGCGTAACAGCATTACATTGTCTCTCTTTTATAATAGAGCAGGAGGGAGGATGCAACACACAGGGGACTGGAGGCATTTCATTTTGGGGTCATTGTTTGACGTGGGACCAACCATCCTGGTTTGCTGGAAACTGTCTCAGTTTTAGCACCGAGAGTCCCAAGTCCTGGGAGACCCCCTTAGTCCTGGGCAAACGGGGTTGTGGTCACCTGTGATCGAAGCCAAGGCCTCTGAGATCTACCCTGCTGGGTCCCTGCCCCAAGCACGAGGTCCTTCTGATGTTTTAGTCACAGGTTTCACACGGTGTTCACAGCAAAGGCCTTGCTTCACCACAGACCGGTCTGGTTTCGTGCTTTCTGACGCAGGCTGGAGCTCTTCTGGACTCGTGTGTCACAGAGAGGGCCCCCGTGTGTCACAGAGAGGGTCCCCGGCACTCTGAGCAGTGCCTCTCGTTGCCCACGCTGCAGAGTTTGTTCATGTGACGAGCAAAGCACTAACACAGGCCATTCTCCCACCAGACAGTGGCCTGGAGGTGTTAGCTGTGCAACGGGTGTCAAAGACCCAGGCCTGGCAACGCACAGGACGGGCTGGCAGAGAGGACAGTGGTATCTGTTACCGGCTCTACACGGAGGATGAGTTTGAGAAGTTTGAGAAGATGACGGTGCCAGAGATCCAAAGGCAGGCCCAAGGGGCTCCCACACCTGCCCTTTGTCCCGCGGCTCCTGTCCCTGTGGCCCGTATCCTCCAACTGACTCTCCTTGGTGGGCGGCTCTTGCCTCGCCGGCTGGGGGGTCAGGAACACCTGCGTGAACCACCTGTGTCTCTCACACTTGCAGGTGTAACCTGGCGAGCGTGATGCTGCAGCTCCTCGCAATGAAAGTCCCAAATGTGCTCACCTTTGACTTCATGTCCAAGCCATCTCCAGGTAAGTGGGGTCTTTGGGAAGGTGTACAAAATGGACAAAAACAACCAGTGGACTCCAAAAAAAACCAACCAGGTCTTCCAGCGGTCTCCTTTTGTTTAGTATAATTTGGTGGATAACAACCTTAACTCTCAGAGAAGAAACTCAGAATCATGAAAGGAAAGATGCGGTGCCATCAGCACCATCGCGGTGCAGAATCGGCGGCTTCATGTAGGCATCATGGGCGGGTTCCGAGACCACAGGACCCAGGGAAGGTGGTCGAGGGGGTCCACAGGATACTGCAAACCTAACGAAATCGTACTTTTGCCAGCAAAAGCACTGAAAAGATTAAGTTTCTTTGCTTTTGACCGGAATTTGATGGGTCCCTGCCCTTCACTGATAATCTCTCCATGGTGAAAGAAAAAATAATGGGGAGTTTTAATGATGGTAGCTTCGTACTTGGCATCTCTTCAACATATACCATTTTCTTTTTTTTCCTCTCCTTTTTTTTAAGTGAAGAAGTGCAACTGGTTAAAAAAGTAAACAGTCGATGGGTATACAGGGCCCCTCCGTGATCTCAGTTTCCCTCCTCTACAGCAACCACTGTGAACATTTCCCAGTGTCTTCTAGAGAAAATCTTTGCAAGTACCTATAGTCTTTTATTTATTTATCACATGAATTTTATTTCATCAGTCCTTGGACACATATATTCCATCCTCCTCCCAGACCGGGGTGCCTGCAGAAAGGGTTGTGATCGGGCGTCTCCAGCCCCAGGTGCAACAGCACTTATGGGCCTTTCACTCAGCTTTCCAGCACTTCTTCCAGAAACAGGCCAAGAGCAAAGGCACCAGCCTTCAAGACTGAGATCAACTTTGCTTTTTTTTTTTTTTGGCTGCACAGCTTGCAGAATCTTATTTCCCTGACTGGGGATTGAACCCCGGCCCTCCGCAGTGAGAGCGTGTAGTCCTAACCACTGGACCACCAGGGAATTCCATATAGTCTCTTTTTAAAACACAAATAGCAACACACATTGTGCACTGTTCTACACTTTTTTTTCTTTCTCTTGCTAAATCTCTACATACAAACGAGGCACATTCCTGTCAGGTGGAAATATCGAAGCCACACCTGTGCATCCGTTACCAGGGTTGCAAAGCCTCCAGAGGCTGCCACACTCCCCACCTGAAGTTAACCACCTCTCAGGTTTTGTCCGTGAATCCCTCGCTTTTCTTGAATATTTTATTCCATACACGTGCATTGTTTCGGTTGGCATGTTTATGCCTCGATTTCCCAGTGACCTTCCCTTTTCGTTCATCGTGTTTTATAAGGTTTATGTCTGATGCATTTTCATTACTAAATACTATTCTAGTCTATGAATAAACCAAAATGCATTTATCCTTCTCCTACCGATAGACATTGGCACATTGCTTTTTCTTTTTTTTTTTTTGTCCCACCATCACTGTCCCCTGCCACTTTCCCCCCTTGGTGTCCATGTGTTTTTTCTCTACATCTGTGCCTCTATTTCTGCCCTGCAAACCTGTTCACCTGTACCATTTTTCTAGATTCCACATATATATGCGTTAATATACGATATTTGTTTTTCTCTTTCTGACTTACTTTGCTCGGTATGACAGTCTCTAGGTCCATCCACGTCTCTGCAAATGACCCAATTTCATTCCTTTTTATGGCTGAGTAATATTCCATTGTATATATGTACCACATCTTCTGTATCCATTCATCTGGCATGGGCATTTAGGTTGCTTCCATGTCCTGGCTATTGTAAATAGTACTGCAATGAACATTGGGGTGCATGTGTCTTTTTGAATTATGGTTTTCTCAGGGTATATGCCCAGTAGTGGGGTTGCTGGGTCGTATGGTAGTTCTATTTTTAGTTTTTTAAGGAACCTCCGTACTGTTCTCCGTAGTGGCTGTATCAATTTACATTCCCACCAACAGTGCAGGAGGGTTCCCTTTTCTCCACACCCTCTCCAGCATTTGTTGTTTGTGGATTTTCTGATGATGCCCATTCTAACTGGTGTGAGGTGATACCTCATTGTAGTTTTGATTTGCATTTCTGTAATAATTAGTGATGTTGAGCATCTTTTCATGTGCCTCTTGGCCATCTGTATGTCTTCTTTGGAGAAATGTCTATTTAGTTCTTCTGCCCATTTTTTTATTAGGTTGTTTGTTTTTTTAATATTGAGCTGCTTGAGCTGTTAATATATTTTAGAGATTAATCCTTTGTCCGTTGTTTCATTTGCAAATAGTTGCTCCCATTCTGAGGGTTGTCTTTTCGTCTTGTTTATAGTTTCCTTTGCTGTACAAAAGCTTTTAAGTGTCCCATTTGTTTATTTTTGGTTTTATTTCCATTACTGTAGGAGGTGGGTCAAAAAAGATCTTTCTGTGATTTATGTCAAAGAGTGTTCTTCCTATGCTTTCCTCTAAGTTTTATAATGTCTGGTCTTACATTTAGGTCTCTAATCCATTTTGAGTTTATTTTTTGTGTATGGTGTTAGGGAGTGTTCTAATTTCATTCTTTTACATGTAGCTGTCCAGTTTTCCCAGCACACTTATTGAAGAGACTATCTTCTCCATTGTATATCCTTGCGTCCTTTGTCATAGATTAGTTGACCATAGGTGTGTGGTACATTGCTTTTTTCACTTAATGTATTTTACAGATCATTCCCCTCTGTGTAGATATTTATTACATTCTTAGAATTGCATCTTTATTCTTTAATAGGCAATGCATTTTCATGGTTCAAATTTAAAAAGAATAAGATAGTAAATAGTGTCCTTCTCATCAGGGGCCTCTGAGGCACCTGGCATTTCCATTGTTGTGTGTGAGTGTCTGGAGATGCAGGTCCCTGTACGATGTCCGAGTATATCTGGGGGTGAAATTCATAAGTGTAACTTTGCTGGGTTTCAGATTTACACACACATTGCCAAATTGCAGGCCACTACTTAAAGAGAGTTGAGCTGAAGACAATGTTGTGCTTAACAGCTTTGAAAAGCACCTCATGGGGACAGTGTGGCTGTGGTCTTTGCTGTGGTTTTGACGTCGGCTTCTCAGAAGTGCCCTGAAGTAATGAACTAGCTCCAGCTTCGTCCTGTTCTGAATGTTCGACTCCTTTTTATGTCTTTCTGTAGATCACGTTCAGGCAGCCATCGCCCAGCTGGAGCTGTTGGGTGCCCTTGAAAACAAAGACGGCCAGCTCACCCTGACTCCAATAGGAAGAAAGATGGCGGCTTTCCCGTTAGAACCCAAATTTGCCAAAGTAAATGATATCCTCTCCTCAGTCCCCTTTCTGTGTGTTATGGGTCAGCCATCCCAGAGGAGACTCCTTAACCCAGTGCTTCTAGATTAGTCTTCTCTTTTTCTCTTAAATAATTATTAACGCCTACTTATTAACGCCTAACTCTGACTTACGCTCAGTGTGGGATTCAAGCCATATTAAGTCATGAGCCCTACCCACATGGAATCATGCGGGGAAGGCAGCCCTCTGTTTTACAGAAAGTAAAATAACATACATAGTCATGGTTTTAGAAACACCTGCCCCTTAAGGCCTTACAAGGGAAGCTGCAAAAGCAGTATATGGAAGTACTTTATTCAGAAGCCAGGAGAAAACTAGGCTTACACTGTTTTTAATTGTGATTTGCAGACCATCCTCCTGTCCCCCAAATTCCACTGCACGGAGGAGATACTGACCATCATCTCCCTGCTGTCAGTGGACAGCGTTCTCTACAACCCCCCCTCCCGGCGGGATGAAGTGCAGGCTGTGCGGAAGAAGTTCATATCCAGCGAGGGCGATCACATCACCCTGCTTAACATCTACCGGGCCTTCAAGAACACAGGCGGAAACAGGGTAGGCCTTGTCTCTTTCCCCTTCTCAAACGATGCCTCCTTTTGGGCCTGTGAATGGCAGATGTCATTTCAGAAATGTCTGTGCACAGGGAGGTTACCAGAGAAGGCATGATTCCCGTCTTTCCCTCTGCTTATGTTTAACTCATACCTAACGTTGGCCAGTTCGTTAAGTATTTGTTGACCCAGTTTCTTAGCTACAAAATGATTTGTTTCCCCACCTGCCCCTAACTTTCTTCATAGCAGATTTTGCTTGTATTTCAGTTCCCTGGACCAAGGTGGAAAATGGCAATATTTTCTTTCACTTATCAGTAAAATAAAATAGAATAAAATCAGTCATTGTAGGGAGTTCCCTGGTGGCCCAGTGGTTAGGATTCCGGGCTCACTGCCACGGCCCAGGTTCAATCCTTGGTCAGGGAACTGAGATCCCGCAAGCCGGGTGGCACGGCCCACCAAAAAAAAAAAAAAAAAAAAAATCAGTAATTGTGCTATAGCATGCATGCTTTATCTGTGCTTTAATGCAAAAAAAACAAAAAAAATAGCCACCACCCAATTTTAGTAGTTGTAAACATTTTGCTGTATTTGCCTCAATTTATTTTTAAGGAAATAAAATGATCTAGACAAAACAAGAGCCCTGAGCTGCCCCTTTTGCAGTCCTTCCTCCCTTCTGTAACCCCTGTCAAGTCTGTCTGGGTCCTGGTGGGCAACCACGTGCTTTCACTTTGTATGCGCAGGCATCGTATGCTGTAAATGCTTCTTCACGCTACCTTTTTGCAACTTGTTTCCGTCTCCTCACCTGCAGTGCCCATCCCGTCCAGGTCTCTTGTGCACAAGGGGGAGAGTTGCTCTGGGGTCGACAGCCAGGAGTGGACCTGCCGGTCTTCGGGCAGCTACATCAAGCTTTCCCAGCTGGCATGTGCGTCCACAGAGCTGTCAGCACCTCTTTATCCTCCCCGGAGTAGTGTAGAGGAGTTTCGATTTCCACCAGCCTCTCCAGCTCGTAGTTGAAATGACTTTTCATTTTTGCCACGTTGAGGGATGTGAAGTAGTATCTCAGTTATTTGAAACTGCACTGCCTTGATTCCTCAAGAGACCGAGAACCTTTGCTTAAGTTTATTGTCATTTGTAGTTAATCTTCTGTGAGTCCTTTGTCGTTTTTCTGCTGGAGTATTGGTCATTTTCTCACTGATTTGTAGGAGTTTATTTATTTTTTAATATATTCTGGAGGTAATCATTCTTTACTGGGTGTAGTGATGCAGATATCCCAGTCATTAGCTTTTTTCATCATGACTTGACCTATGGAATTTTTTGGTTCTACTTTAGTTTAAATTTTTACTGTTTTCCTTTATGGTTCATGCTTTTTGCTATAAAGATATTTTCCTGTATTTATTTTTGGCAACTGAAGTTTTCCATCTGAATTAGAACAGTGTTCTAAAAATTATGCTGGGACTTCCCTGGCGGTCCAGCAGTTAAGACTCCGTGCTTCCACTGCAGGGGGCACGGGTTCGATTCCTGGTTGGGGAGCTAAGATCCCGCATGCCGTGTGGTGCGGCCCCAAATTTTTTTTTAATTAAAAATAAAAATTGTGCTATGTTATTTTCTTTATAGAAATGAGAGGACTGTGATATCTCTTTTTTCTCCTATTCAGGATTGGTGCAAAGAGAATTTTGTCCACAGCAAGAATATGATGCTGGTAGCTGAAGTCAGATCACAGCTGAGGGATATCTGCCTAAAGGTATTCTTCCTCCTGGTGTTCACTGGGGGGCTAAGCTGTCACTTTTTTCTAGGTGAAAAATTTCAGGTTGCTTATTGCAAGTGATTGCAAAAAAAACCTCTCATTGTAGGAAAATTTTTAAATAAGGAAGAAAGTAAAACTTACCCACAGCTCCACCTCTCCCCAGTTTAGTCTGTTTTTCCATAGCCCTGTTTTTATTTTATTTTATTTCTTTTATTTATATTTTTTTTGGCAGTACGCGGGCCTCTCACTGCTGTGGCCTCTCCCGTTGTGGAGCACAGGCTCTGGACGCGCAGGCTCAGCAGCCATGGCTCACGGGCCTAGCCACTCTGTGGCATGTGGGATCTTCCCGGACCGGGGCACGAACCCGTGTCCCCTGAATCGGCAGGCGGACTCTCAACCACTGCGCCACCAGGGAAGCCCATAGCCCTGTTTTTAAATGAATTTTTTAACATCATTAGTTACATTGTATGTATAATTTATATTCAGCTTTTATAAACTTTAAAAGTGTTTTCCAATGTTATTAGAATTCTCCTTAAGGTTTGTTTTTTTAGTGGAAATATCTTTGTTATTTTTATTCAGATTACAAAAACCGTGCATAATTGTTACAGATTGATACATGCAGAAAATAGTGATATATAATGCAGAAAGTGTAAAAGTCTCCTTAATCCTGCCCCTCCAAAGATAAATAATAGTCTGGTGTAGATCCTTCTAGAATTTTTTCCTGTGTATGTATGTTTTTATATATGTGTGTGTATACACATATACGTGGATACATATATAAAATTTTCTTTTTTTTTTCTTTATTTTAATAGATTTTTATTGGCGTATAATTGCTTCACAATACTGTGTTAGTTTCTGTTGTACAACAAAGTGGATCAGCCACATGCATACATATATCCCCATATCCTCTCCCTCTTGAGCCTTCCTCCCACCCTCTCTATCCCACCCCTCTAGGTCATTGCAAAGCACCAAGGTGATCTCCCTGTGCTATTCTGCTGCTTCCCGCTAGCTGTCTATTTTACATCTGGTAGTATAAATATGTCGATGCTACTCTAAATCACCCCAGCTTCCCCCTCCCACCCCGTGTCCTCAAGTCCATTCTCTAGGTCTACATCTTTATTCCTGCCCTGCAGCTAGGTTCATCAGTACCATTTTTTTTAGATTCCATATATATATGTTAGAATACGGTATTTGTTTTTCTCTTTCTGACTTACTTCACTCTGTATGACAGACTCTAGGTCCATCCATCTCACTACAAATAACTCAATTTCATTTCTTTTATAGCTGAGTAATATTCCATTGTATATATCATACCACATCTTCTTATCCATTCATCTGTCGATGGACATTTAGGTTGGTTCTGTGTCCTGGCTATTGTAAATAGTGCTGCAATGAACATTGTGGTACGTGACTATTTTTGAATTATGGTTTTCTCAGGGTATATGCCCAGTAGTGGGATTGCTGGGTCATATGGTAGTTCTATTTTTAGTTTTTTAAGGAAACTCCGTACTGTTTTCCGTAGTGGTTGCATCAATTTACATTCCCACCAACAGTGCAGAAGGGTTCCCTTTTCACCACACCCTTTCCAGCATTTATTGTTTCTAGATTTTTTGATAATGGCCATTCTAACCGGTGTGAGGTGATACCTCATTGTGGTTTTGATTTGCATTTCTCTAATAATTAGTGATCTTGAGCATCTTTTCATGTGTCTCTTGGCCATCTGTATGTCTTCCTTGGTGAAATGTCCATTTAGGTCTTCTGCCCTTTTTTTTTTTAATTTATCTATTTATTTATTTTTGGCTGCGTTGAGTCTTCGTTGCTGCGTGCGGGCTTTCTCTAGTTGCTGCGAGCGGGGGCTACTCTTCGTTGCGGTCGCAGGCTTCTCATTGCGGTGGCTTGTCTTTGTTGCAGAGCACAGGCTCTAGGCGCGGGGCTCAGTAGTTGTGGAATGCAGGCTCTAGAGCTCAGGTTCGGTAGTTGTGGCACAAGGGCTTAGTTGCTCCACTGCATGTGGGATCTTCCCGGACCAGGGCTCGAACCCATATCCCCTGCATTGGCAGGTGGATTCTTTACCACTGAGCCACCAGGGAAGTCCTTCTGCCCATTTTTTAATTGGATTGTTTGGTTTTTTGATATTGAGCTCCATGAGCTGTTTCTATATTTTGGAGATTAATCCTTTGTCGTTTCATTTGAAAATATTTTCTCCCATTCTGAGGGTTGTCTTTTTGTCTTGTTTATGGTTTCCTTTGCTGTGCAAAAGCTTTTATGTTTAATTAAGTCCCATTCGTTTATTTTTGTTTTTATTTCCGTTACTCTAGGAGGTACATCAAAAAAGATCTTGCTGTGATTTATGTCAAAGAGTGTTTTTCCTATCTTTTCCTCTAAGAGTTTTATAGTGTCTGATATTACATTTAGGTCTTTTCCACTTGGAGTTTATTTTTGTGTATGGTGTTAGGGAGTGTTCTAATTTCATTCTTTTACATGTAGCTGTCCAGTTTTCCCAGCACCACCTATTGAAGAGGCTGTCTTTTCTCCATTTTATGTTCTTGCCTCCTTTGTCTTAAATTAGGTGACCATATGTGCATGATTTTATCTCTGGGCTTTCTATCCTGTTCCATTGATATATATTTCTGTTTCTGTGCCAGTACCATACTGTCTTAATTACTGTAGCTTTGTGATATAGTTTGAAGTCAGGGAGCCTGATTCCTCCAGCTCCATTTTTCTTTCTCAAGATTGCTTTGGCTATTCAGGGTCTTTTGTGTTTCCATACGAATTGTAAATTTTGTTCTAATTCTGTGAAGAATGCCATTGGTAGTTCGATAGGGATTGCATTGAATATGTAGATTGCTTTGGGTAGTATAGTCATTTTCACGATATTTGTTCCTCCAATCCAAGAACATGGTATATTTCTCCATCTGTTTATGTCATCTTTGATTTCTTTCATCAGTGTTTTATAGTTTTCTGAGTACAAGTCTTTCTCCTCCTTAGGCAGGTTTATTCCTGGGTATTTTATTCTTTTTGTTGCGATGGTAAATGGGATTGTTTCCTTAATTTCTCTCTCTGATTTTTTGTTGTTAGTGTATAGGAATGCCAGAGATTTCTGTGCATTAATTTTGCATCTTGCAACCTTACCAAATTCATTGATTAGTTGTAGTTTTCTGGTAGCATCTTTAGGATTTTCTATGTACAGTATCATGTCATCTGCAAACAGTGACAGTTTTACTTCTTCTTTTCCAATTTGTATTCCTTTTATTTCTTTTTCTTCCCTGATTGCCGTGGCTAGGGCTTCCAAAACTATGTTGAATAAGAGTGGACATCCTTGTCTTGTTGCTGATCTTAGTGGAAATGCTTTCAGTTTTTCACCATTGAGTATGATGCTTGCTGTGGGTTTGTCCTATATATAGCCTTTACTATGTTGAGGTAGGTTCCCTCTATGCCCATTTTCTGGAGAGTTTTTGTCATAAACAGGTGTTGAATTTTGTCAAAAGCTTTTTCTGTGTCTATTGAGATGATCATATGGTTTTTATTCCTTAATTTGTTAACGTGGTGTATCACATTGATTGATTTGCATATAGTGAAGAGAATCCTATGGGATGAAGCAAAAGCACTTCTTAGAGGGAAGTTTATAGCAATTCAATCTCACCTCAAGAAACAAGAAAAATCTCAAATAAGCAATCTAACCCTACACTTAAAACAACTAGAGAAAGGAGAACAAAGAAAACCCAAAGTCAGTAGAAGGAAAGAAATCATAACAATCAGAGGGGAAAAAAATGAAATAAAAATGAAGAAAACAGGCCTTCCCTGGTGGCGCAGTGGTTGAGAGTCCGCCTGCCGATTCAGGGAACACGGGTTCGTGCCCCAGTCCGGGAAGATCCCACATACCGCGGAGCGGCTGGGCCCGTGAGCCATGGCTGCTGAGCCTGCACGTCCAGAGCCTGTGCTCTGCAATGGGAGAGGCCACAACAGTGAGAGGCCCGCGTACCGCAAAGAAAAAAAATGAAGAAAACAGTAGCAGAGATCAATAAAACTAAAAGCTGGTTCTTTGAGTAGATAAACAAAATTGATAAACCCTTAGCCAGATTCATCTAGAAAAAAAGGGAGAGGACACAAATCAATAAAATTAGAAATGAAAAAGGAGAAATCACAACTGACACCACAGAAATGCAAAGGATTACTATATGCCGATTGAAACTGTAATTAAAACTCTTCCAACAAACAAAAGTTCAGGACCAGATGGCTTCACAGGTGAATTCTATCGAACATTTAGAGAAGAGCTAACACCAATCCTTCTCAAACTCTTCCAAAAAATTGCAGAGGGAGAAACACTCCCAAATTCATTCTACAAAGCCACCATCACCCTGATACCAAAACCAGAAAAAGATATCACAAAAAAAGAAAATTATAATCCAATGTCACTGATGAACATAGGTGCAAAAATCCTGAACAAAATACTAACAAACAGAATCCAACAACACATTAAAAGGATCATACACCATGATAAAATTTTCTTTTTAAAACAAAATGTATAACACTTTGTTTTGCAATTTGCTTTTTTGCACTTGGAGTACTTCTTGAATACTTTGTGTCTAGGCTGTCTTGCAGCGCCTGCATATGTCTATCTCGTTCTTTTTAGTGACTTCACAGCATTTCACTGTCTTCACTACAGTTTATTTAGCCAAGCCCCTAATGGTGATGATTTAGGTTGTGCTGTAATGATCATCTTCCTACATAAATGTCTGTGCTCTGGTACACGTAGAATGAACTTTTAGATGGGGAGTTTAGATTTTCATAGACATTGCCAAATCATCAACCAACAAGTTTCCTACGCGCTTATATTCCCTCTTAGAGGACATAATGTTTATATATTCAATGGCTATGACGCGCCACATTTTACCTCAAAGGTGGGCTTGTCTGTGTTCGGGTTCTCCTGTGTTGAGCACTGAGAGAGTGTCTACTTTTTGCTGCTGTGAGCAACTCTGTGGTGACTGTCTTCGTGTGTAAGGCGTCTTTTGAGACAGCCCGCGTCACGGACCATCCGCACGTCCCTAGGGGACAGTTGTCACCCTTACCCAGGCCTGTGCCTGATGCCAGCGGCCCATTGTTAGCACTAGAGGGACTTCTTCTCATAGTAGCGTGCTGTGTTCTGCATTATACCATTTTCGAACCCTTCTTGTACTTGAACAGCTCTCCTGCCACACCATCCCTTGGCTGCGTGAGTTCCCTCATTTTCTATTGACAGTAGACCTGGTGCTCCTCCAGCAGCGCTGATCTCAGGTGTTGCAGGCAGCCGCCCGGGTGTCAGCCTCCACCGTGGGCCCTGCACCCTGGACTGCGCTGGGGGCACGTGGCTCCACCCACCGCGGGTGGCGGCACAGTGCTCACGTCTGGGGTCTTCTCCATGTCTCGCTTCCTCCCGAACCAGATGTCCATGCCGATCCTGTCGTCGCGAGGGGACACAGAGAGCGTCCGCCGCTGCCTGGCGCACAGCCTCTTCATGAGCACCGCCGAGCTGCAGCCCGACGGGTCCTATGCCACCACGGACACCCACCAGCCCGTGGCCATCCACCCCTCGTCCGTCCTCTTCCACTGCAAGCCGGCCTGCGTTGTGTACACGGAGCTGCTCTTCACCAACAAGTGCTACATGCGCGACCTGTGCGTGGTGGACGCCGAGTGGCTGTACGAGGCTGCCCCCGACTTCTTCAGGAGGAAGCTGAGGGCCTCCAGGAACTGAGCCGCCCGGGGCGGGAGCTGGGCCACAGCTGGCCTCGCCGCGGACTCTCAGGCTGGCACCCAGAGAGGCCGCGGTCGTATCGGGCGGATTATGCCCGGCCTCTGGGAGCTTGAAAGCATCCTTGTCTAAACTCCTCAGACTGAACCACACAGACATGCAGCGACCTTGGAGACTTCAAAATGATGCTTTCAGTTCTTGCTGGGCGACTTTGGGTGACTTAGTTAACTTCTGAGCCTCAGTTTCCCTATCTGCCAAGTGGGGGTGATAATAATAATACTTACAGGGTTGGGGTCATGAGGTTTAGAGCAAATGAAAGGAAAGTACCCAGAGCTGTGCCTGCCCACGATAAACACGCCGTGGATCGTGAGCCGTGGAGCTTGGTTGCTGTCACTGCTTTTCTACATGATGTGAACCAGGTACAACAAACCCCGCTGAGTTCCCAAGGCTGAGGGGGACCGTCTGGAAAGGGCACCACCAGATGTCACAGAGCTGTTGACCTTGGATCTATTTTAACTTCTATCTGCATATGGACTTTTATAACAGAAAACACAAGAGATTAACTTCTGTTTCAGGAGGGAGGTGCTTTGGGGCCGTAAACACTTGAGCCTAAGGTGCGTCTCTGAGCTGAGCTTATGGCATTTCTCCTCTGGCCCTGCGGTGGGCGGAGGTGAGAACACAGGCAGCTTTGGCTCATCCATCACCTCATCTAGTGTTTATGTTCTTTTATCTTATTTATTTCCTACGATCATTTTTTCCTTCTTAGGGACCTGGGGACAGCCTGGCTTTGCCACTCGCCCCTCTCTAGCCCTCATTTTCCATATTTGTCAGAGGGGATTAGAGGGTCTCCGCAGTCTCTTCCTGTTTTCATATTTTGAGGAGGGAAAAGACACCAAAAGTCCTTCTTAGCTATTTAATTATAAAAAGCAAATAATCTTTCCCCAGAGAATGCTATGCCCTAGAAGACGCCAAGATTTAGCCCTTTTATTGTGCTTAATTGGTCAAAACACACATGTGCAGTAGTTTGGTTATTCCTTTACTTAATAGAGGCCTAGGATGTTTAGGGTTCAAAAGGTATTGGTAAAAGAAAATATTGTATTTTTAATAAAACGTTCATCATGCTGGTAAAAAATTGGGATTGGGGTAATTTATTATGTTCCTCAGCAAATTATATAGAGGTATTCTCTGGGGCAAGTAAAATTTAGCTTTTACTCATTTATGTCCAGCTCAAGTACCTGAACCGTTTCAGGAAAGGTATATTTTTTCTGAGCAGGAATAAGGGGTAAATAGCGTCTATGTTTCTGTACAGAAATATATTTGTCACTAACATTCTGGTAGAGTTTTCATACAGTAGTTTTTTATTGGGCTTTTTAAAAAGTTAACTTTTAACATAGCTGCTCAGGGATTAAATCAGATTGGAAAAGCCGGTCTGACTCTCCGTATTACTACAAAGAAATACATGGTTGTTTACATTGAGCTGCAGGGGATAGATAAGTACACTTTAAACTTTCTTAAGAAAGTTAAATGTTTCACAGTGATGTTGCAATCTAACCTTGAGCTACTCTTTTCAATGCTACAATCTCCGGTGGTGTGCCACCTTTTTTCCAACCTGTGAAATCCATATCTAGGTGAATCACTAGCTCCCTTGAGCAGCTTCATGTAAATAGATGCACTCCAAGCAGATCACATGCCTCAGATGTTTGTCTTCTGCTTCTAGTAATCATGGAGTGTGAAACCCCCAGAGCAGCATAGATCTAAGAACTGCCAACACCCAGTTCTTGGTAAAAACCTTTGGTAAAGAGATGCCAGAATGGAGACAGGTTTTTGCTCTGTGGATAAGACGGATTATGTCCTGTGATGCATAAATCCATTTAATCCAGCTGTGAAGAAATGCTTAGAACTGTGGCCAGGCATCTAAGATACCATTCCTTGTGCATAGAAGGAAACACTGCACCTGTGGGGAAGCAAGAATTTTATTATATTTTATTTGATCAGAATATTATAACTTGCAGCAAAAAAAATCTAGTTGGTTCAGGTTTATGTTGTATTTTGAGAGTCTGTTCTTGTTCAAACAGAGATAGCTCTAAAGAAGCACTGGCTCTTGTATATAATGCTCAAATTTGCACATGACTATCAAATCCATTAAAAGTGAATCTTGTACGTGTGTGAGGCTTCTTTCTTGGGTCTCCTTTCCCTTATTCACAGAATGCTGTTTAGAATATATTAAGTATATCTTATCTTTGCCACTTGATTTGGGAAGACTTACTTTCTTGCTACCTTATATATCTTATGTGTCCTGGTAAGGTAGGAACATTAGTTCTTAACCTAAATTTAATGTAAGCTGTGGCTTCTTGCTCCCAGAAAAATAATGTCCCATCAGAACCTGGGTGTAAGGTTGGAGGGTTGCAGGAGTTAACCAGGGCTCTTGCCTTTAGGAGCTCTGGGTCTGGTGGGGGTGAGGGTCAGCTGCCAGGTAAGCCAGCAGTGCCAGGAGGTTTCTGCTGAGAAAAGAATGAAGCACAGGGGCCGGGTCGCCCAGGCATGAGTCTGTTTTTCAGGGAAGAGAGGAGGAAGTTCCAGGAAGGCCTCTTATGGGAGGTGATCCCGGAGGCTGGTCTTTGGGAGTTGGTGGTGGCAAGAGTGCATTCCACGAAGTCATAGAAAGCCTGGCCGTGCCTGAGAACAGTAGATGGAAATTTGGAGAGTGTAAGCAGCCACTGGAGAGAACGGATGCTGGCCAATTAAACAGCAAGCCTGGGACACCAGACTCAAGCCGAATCAGCTAAAGAAGTTCAGGAATCGGATTCCAGGCCTCCCCGGGAGGCCACACCGGAGGCTACCAGCAGAGGGCGCATTCCCGCCCGCTGTGCCTTTGGTCTGCAAAGCGGCGGCGCGGAAGCATTTCCCGGGGAGGGGGCGGGACTTCCGGCGGCGGCCCTAGATCTAGGGGGCGCAGTGGCGAAGAGTCGTCGCTCTTGCCGAGAGTTGTCTTTCGTATCCGCACGTGTCCGCCGCCGCCTCTGCCTCCGCTGCAGAAATGCTGCCGCTGCTGCGCTGCGTGCCCCGCGTCCTGGGCACCGCTGTCGCTGGCATCCGCGCCGCCGCGCCCTCCCTGCCGCTGCTGCAGCCCGCGTCTAGGCCGTGCGCCCGGCCCTTTGGGCTGCTGAGCGTGCGCGCGGGGTCGGTGCAGTTGCCCGGTCTCCTGCGGCCTTGGGGGCCCTGCGGCTGCGGCTGCGGCTGCGGCGGACTGCACACCGAAGGTAAGACTCGTGCACGTGGGCCGGGGGCGTGAGGGGCCAGGGCCTGGGTGGGGTGGGGAGTCCGGGACGAGGAAGTGTAGACCACGCGTGGACAGCCCGGAACCGCCCCTGAAGTCCAGAACATTCTCCCACTGATCGGCGACCAGCGGGTTAAACCCACGCGTGATCGCGTTTCCCGTCTTCCCCCACCTCTGTTTTACTCTGCGGGGAGAGATGCTGTAAAGCCCTGGAGGCCGACTCTATTCTCAGTCTCTCGAAAATGGAACTTTGCAAAAGCCCAAGGTCGCGGTTGGGAGTAGCGTGGTATTGTCTGTTGGCAAGTGAAAGAGAGTAATGGCGAATTTTTCTTACTTTATTTTGAAAAGTTTTAAGGAGTTCATTGTTGGGAATCACTTTACCAGAATGCGAGCTCAGCTTCCCACTGATAGCTTACAGCATTTTTACAGATGAGGAAACTGAGGCTTAATGGATATGAGTTGGGTTAAGTTCCCAGAGCCGCCGTTAATAGCAGAAGTATTAGAAACAGCCCAAATACAGGTCTCTGGTTGTAGTAACCTGGGTCATTTTCCGTTTTAGACTGATTGGCTCTTTCTGTAACTTATTTCCATTGTAGGGGACAAAGCTTTTGTTGAATTCCTCAATGATGAGATTAAGGAGGAAAAGAAGATACAGAAGTATAAGTCTCTTCCCAAGATGTCTGGAGGTTGGGAGCTGGAAGTGAATGGGACAGAAGCCAAATTAGTGCAGAAAGTTGCTGGAGAAAGGTAAGTACCAGGGGCCTATGGACTCCAGGGAACCAAATCCATGACCCTGCAGGACCTGCCCTGACTTATCCACAACAGCCTTTAGTTAAGGCAGGTACTTAACAGACATGTGGTTTCCGAGAGATCGTAGGATTCATTTGGATAATTTCGTAAGCTCCAGGTCGTTCATTCACTGCACACTTATGTGCTATGGTAGTTCATACGGAGATGGTAAGCAAGTAGCACCGAAGCCAAGTCGCTGGGAGCCTACTGGACCAGTAGAGGCGTCAGTCACTTAAACCCTTGCTGGTGAGGGAGGCTATGCCTTGCCTAAATCTACGCACGCAAATTCAGAAATTCTGACAGCACCGACAGAATCTCAGATTTGCAATGCTGACTTACTATACTACAGGTTCTGGCTGAGGAAAACAAAGCTCCTACTCTGTTTATAGTTGAGAAAGCAAGATAAGGGTGGGGTTGCCGTGTAGTAAGGGTCACCATGAGAAAGATGGGAAGACTTTGACCTGCATAAGCTGTTTGTGATCTACCTTGAGTGAATTTTTGTATATGCTGTGAAGTAGGGTTCTGGCTTTTTTGTTTTGTTTTGGTGGTGTAGTGTTTTTCCCTTCATAGGTCAATCATGTATTCTGTAACGTGACCTAAACCACTTTCCTGGGGTAAGTCGTAGGCAGTTTGGGGCCATTATAAGTAATGTTCTAATGAGCATAACTTCATTTCTGTGCCCGGGCGTCAGCTTGGTCCGCACTGTTGCAGATTAGACAGATTTTGTGGCTGAACCTCAAACCTCAAACCGGCAAGGCAGCCAGTTAGCACAGCTCCAGAGGGGAGTGGCTACAGTGCACTGTTGTCTGCAACCCAGCAGTGCTCGTTCCAGATCTCTCAACTTTAGATTCCAATTTTGGAACGTGATACGTCAGGTGAAGGTTCTTGCAACTGAAGATCGTCATTAGTTGGTGTTTGTGGCCTGCTTTGTGATTATAAAACTTCCCACAACTGCTCTGAGGAATGAGCCTGTCCTGCAGCATGTTCTTTTATTTTTTTGGCGGTGCCCTGTGTCTTGCAGGATCCTAGTTCCCCATCCAGGGATTGAACCCAGGCCACGGCAGGGAAAGCGCTGAGTCCTAACCACCGGACCACCAGGGAGCTCCCCAGCAAGTGTTGCTCTTTGTGAGGCCCCCCTCCATGGGGCCAGGGCTGCTCTCCATCCTCAGCTGATGCCACAGCCCTCCAGCGCTCCTTCTTCCCTTCCTCTCGGGCAGATTTTCTTCTAATGGAGAAAAGCTTTTAAAGGACGCTTCTGCCCCCTGCCCGCAGCTTCTCAGCTGCTCAGCACTGGAAGGTGCCCTGGAAAGACGAGGGTGGCAGTGTCAGTTGGCTGTGGCCAGGAGGTGGCCAGTGGACACAGGTTGGCAGTGAGCCCTGGATGCCGGCCTGGTGACAGGAGCCCACACATGACTGTATTTGGCTGAGGAACAAGTGCCTAATTGACTTCCAGCAGCCAACACATAGTAGGCCCACTTCAGACC